GACATCAAAATAGACATCCATACACCATTCGATAGAGAATTTCAAGGGCTACATTTTGCACTAGTTACATTAAAGAAATGAGCCACTTTAATTTTTCGCCTAATGTCCGCCTGGATGCCCACTGTGCTTTACTCTATTTATTCATGAAAAGAAATCAATATAGTACTATGTCGAACGCACTTAGGAAACGGTTTTTCAGAGGTCTCCTTGAAACGGCTTTTTAAAAAACATTTCTAAATATTTTCTGCCTACGAAAATACCCTCTTAAGTCTTGTGTATCGAATACCTAAAACCGCGAATCTTCATCTCCTTTCGTTCAACAGTTATTCAAATGATAGTCATCGGTCTTATAATTTGATTTCGATACGAGATTTACGGAACTTTAGTTGGGTATCGAGTAATCTCGAGTAGTGAGGTCTGAGTGTCTCGAGTAGGCTTCGGACTCGATGCATGCCTAGTCTCAATATACAACAGTAATATCATCCTCTTATTCAAAACTCTAATGCTATGAAGAAAGACGTTTGACGTAGGTAATTGACGTTATGATCTCTCATTTGTTTCTATGAAGAAGTCTCATTGGTTATTGCACAAACATATGCTTACTTCCATCAAATTGCTTTTCTTTAATTCCATTTCTATGCATGTTATAAGTGGAGGAGTAGAAGAAGACAACTATATAATTATTATCGACATTAAGCTTTTTTTTCTCTTCCTTTAAAAAAAAATAGATTTTTGTAAAAAAAAGAACACCTCAGAAAGAAAAAAGTAATATTCTGGCACCATAAAAAAGTAAACGATAGACTGTAACTATGACATTTTTTTTAATTTCTGTTAAGCGTTATAAAATACTCAGAATTCGAACGCGCCGGTTGATATAAGTTTTATTCTGTCAGAATACAAGCGGAATATATTCCGTTATAGTATTCCAAACTAAAACTATCAAAAAACACAAGATCAATTCTGTACGAATACAGATTCGAACACATGAACATACTTTTACAGTTTACTACAAAACTAAATCGCGTCAATTTATACATTCAAAATGCTTTCTTCACATTTGACGGCTCCTGCTGATGGAATTGACTCGGATCGTATTGTTAACACGGCGTTCTTAGATGATTATCATAAATGTCAAATATGCCACAGTGTTTTATGGAAACCAGTTGCATGTAAGACCTGCGAGAAACCTTATTGTAAAACATGCATTGATAAATGGTTAAATGGAAAAATTGAAAAGACCTGCCCAAATCGTTGTAAATATGAAGAACGAAACTGTTCCCCACTAACAAGTACATTATTAGCAAAATTAGAAATATCTTGTATATATAAAACTGATGGGTGTAAACAGATTCTGTTATATGATTCATTAGAACGTCATGAAAATCAATGCGATTATCAAGGAAAAGAATGTTTCGGTTGTAAACAACTCTATCCAAAGAATTTTCTTCGACAACATGAACAACAATGTGATATGATAAAATTTTTCTGTTATCTATGCGAAGAAGACATTTTTCAAAGAGAATTTAGTCAACATTTGTCCGCATGCCTTCGATGCCGACTAGAAACAATGAGAACCGAAATGGTGGACATGATCAACAAGCACGACAATAACATAAAACAACGTCTAAAAGCAGCTGAAAATTCTCAAATCGAACTTAATCAACACATGAAAAACCTTGAAAAAACTATCTCCTCGACTCAAAAAAACACTTTTTATACACAATCTGCTTTTTGGGTCCTATTAATCTTAGTCATTGTTCTATTCTTTTTAGGCATTGTTCTATTCCTTTCAGTCCACGATATGAAAGATGAAGTCAAAAAACTCTCCAACAATTATGGCGATATGAAGGATAAAGTCATAAAACTCTCCAACAATTATGACGATATGAACGCTAAATGTGACCAACGGAATAAATTATTCTTTTGGCAATAGGTATAGTTTTCAAAATAAAACTAATGACTAGTGCAACTGACTTTTAATTTAACATTTTTCTTTTTTCTTTATAGCAAAACCGGGATTGTCGACCGCCACGATCATTTTCAACAACAAGCTAAATTCTGATGCTACATAAAAGTTCAAATAAACAACCGCAAACTTGAGAAATAACTGAAAAGAGAGAAAAACAAAAATAACTGAATTTACCATGGGTGCCGGCAACTGCTAATTCAAAGCTGTCTCTCTGTCATCCTTCAGTATTTTACTTATAAAATGTCGTTAATCTGACTCAACAGAGGGCATGTCGATCGTATCACTCCAGTAGTGGCGGATCCAGGAATTTATGAAGGGGGTATGCTGCTTGCAAAAAAATGATTTATAATTTATTTATAATTTATCCTGATAAAAGCGGAGGAGGGTGTGATCTCACCGAGAGCATCTCTCCTGGATCCGCTAGTGCACTACAGATGCTTTAGTCAGTAATTTGTATTTATATTTTCATAAAAGAATTTTAGAAAATCCATTGCGGCAAACTCTATATCTATCCAGATAGTGCTGATAGACAATTATGAACAAGAAAATTAGATATCTTCTTTTTCGTTCCTGACCTTTTCGTTATTGAAGATCAAGTTCCTTTATAAGATACTGTCGAGCTTAAAACGAATTATTTCAGTTTCTCTTGCGTAACTTGCGATTTCTCTTTTAGCATTTAATTTCACATATACACATGGATACCATTAGAAACACATGTTATGAATTTTTCGATTTAAACATAACTTATATTGCCAAATGAATCTGCTCGTCATCGATATTCTGATAAATTTATTGCGTTGCTGGTTTATACCGTGAAAATAATGACAAAAAGAATCTGATGTATTTCAAACTACCGACGAAAGCAGAAACGTCAAATTACTGCATATCAGCCAAACTTTTTGCGATTTGATAGATTAAGAAGATCATAATTTAATGAGAATTTGAAAATTGCGCTGAAAATTGCTTTTTTTCCTACACAGCTAGAGAGCTGCGGTTTTCACCACTGGATTCAGCCCCCGAAACTGCATCTGGAAATGTATATCTTGTTTCGTGCACCTCTGGTCGATGTGATGGTGGTAGGGTCTATATGGATTGACCCAGTAGTGGCTTTTAAAGTCTTTATCATCTGAAATAAGACAACAGTATAAAAGACAGTAAAGTTAAATTCAAATCCAAATTGTACGACTAAGTGCAAGAGTGAGTACTAAAACCTGATGAAGATTCAAAACGTCTGCAACTGCCAAGAATACGGACTATCAACATCTGTCAGCTTTAAATAGATGTGTTAGATCAATAATCTCTGTCGAAAGTGCTTCGTGGACCCTGGAAATTAGCTTAAACTTTTTACAAGTATCAGATCGCTAGTGGAATTTCTGCTTAATTTTATCCACATAAAAGTATTAACTTATGACTGATGAATAATATGACTATTAATAGTCCACGTATACCGTATCATCTTCGAATTTCCAACTATCATGAGAATAGGTATTGATTTTCAAGAAAACTGGAAAATCGATTTCGAATTTTCAAGAATCCTGGAAATTATTTATAGAAAATTGATCGATTTTCTAGAATATTAGAAAATCAAACTCGAACTTCCAGTATTTATAAAATCACCGCCGAATTTTGATATTTTTGAAAATTCTATGGCAATTTTCTGAGTAAAATGAAAAGTCAATTTACAGAAAATCGAAAATCGCGAATTTCTAAAAGTTAGAAAATCTACGAGCATTTTACAAATATCGAAAAAAGCTCCACAATTTTCTAGATCGATTTTCTATATACTAAAAATTAATTCCAAATTACAGTGTACTTAGTAACGATAGTGGAAATCCAGTAATCCGGCGATTGCGAGATTTCTCCTCAATGCAACCATCGATTTATCGCCCGATAATCGATGGATTTAACTATTGGTAGTTGCACATGCAGACGCATCTAGTTAAAAGTCCCTTTTCCAACTAGCAATCCAGATGACAACTAGTCGGGCGTCACCCAATTACAGATAAAATGCATCTAGACTTTTCTCATAGATGGCTTTGCTTGGAGATTTCATCATTTTATTCTATAGTTTAGAACGTATTCTGAAATGACTTCAGAAAAACCTTTGAAAAACTGTGGCCATTTCTCTGGAAATTTTACATGCAGAGAGATGTTAGCAGTTCCTTTTTTGAGATATTTCTTTCAACGAGACCAATACTATCACTTGTACGAACAAATAGTTTTCCAAAATACACCTCTTGCTGTTTTTTAAAAAACTACAAAATAAGTGTTTTTGGCTTACACTGAGTGAGTCAAACTTTAAAAGTAGTCTGACATGAGAAGGATCCAAGTGCCGCATCGTTTTTGACTTGAAATATACATTCATAATGTCAGTTAATGCGACACGGAACGCAGGTTCATGACACAAGGTTTCGACGATCACGGCGCTTGTTTTTAGTTGTAACCCCGATCGACACATCGTCGTTAAGATGGGAGGTTTTGAATTCGTTTCATTTTCACTTCATTTTCAGTTTAGAAAAGCAGCAAACCTCCGCCATCCACTCTGGCACTTTGTATTCATCTGTACACTCAATATTAGTAACAACATATGATTTATATGATATTCGTTTTATGCATAAACATTAGCACTGTTAACTGTTACCATTACTTCAGCTGTATTCCGGATACCCGCACAGGCTTAGTCTAGTGCATCCGACGGCTTGCAATTTTCTACTGCGTCATCTATCATTACTGTGCTAACACATCTTATTCAAGCTGAGTTCAGGCATGCAACAATTCCAAGCCAGAACTCGCTGATCGGCACCGAACGGTTATATACCGACCGGCGAGTGCTAGCTTGAGATTGTTGTATGCCTAGTCTGGACTGAAGACAAACGGAGTGAAATTTAAGTTTTTGAAGGAACTAACCGCAAACTAGTCTGTCAAAGCTAAGAGCGTGAGAGCGAAAAAATACATGAAAGAAATTTGTAAAACAGAAAAAATGAGAGAGGCGACGGTACCTTGCGCCCATTATTTGCCAAAATATAAGATGAAAAGCCAATCATCTGTGAGGAAAAACTTCCTCTGCATGAGTAGCTAAAAGAATTAAAGTAACTCCGTTTGTGCTCAACTTAGTGAGTTTTGTGTTTCTTCGGAAACCCGATTTCTAGCGACCTCTTTAGGATGTCTTTAGGGCGAAATAAAAATTTTCTAAGACAGTGATTTTAAAGATCGAAAATTTCAGAAAGTTTTGGGTTCTTAAAACCAATACACACACATTTCCGTAAAGATTTGTCTATTGGAAAAGAAGAAGAAATGAGCTTGGTTTTGCATTTTGCATACCATCCTATCAAACCTGAGTGAAGCTTTATGGTGGATAGTCATTATGTAATACAGTTTCGCATTATGAAAATACGTTTTCTATGAAACTCCTTTTCGGGCTCACTCCCACACTGCCCACACACCCATCTCCTACGCCACAACGCCAAAGATATCCAAATGTGCACTATAAAAAATTCACAGAAGAGTCGGCGATGGTCCGTGCAGATGTCGTGTCACGTTTGAAACCATCCCACCAATAGTTATTACTTATACCACAGTGAAGTTCGATTTAAAAATGACATGTACACTGAAGAGTATAAAAGTATTGTTCAAAAATTAAAATGCAACGAAAGACCAGAATGGGTTAACTTTAATACCTATCTTCCAATATTTTCAAGCCTTTTCTATATAGAAATAACTAGAATGACGTCCTGAATATGTTTCATGCTTTGAAACGACAACGCCGGATAAAACCGAAAATCGGCCACTCCCCCAATGGCACTTTTAGCATATGGTTGGAAAGCCCTGACTCTAGGGAATAAGAATCTAGTGTTAGAATTTTTTCAAGTCGATTAGGTACAGAAAAAGAATGAGCTTAATCTCTCATTGAGTATTTAACAGTAGTTAGTTAAATATAGTAAAACGGCTATAGCTTTAATACAAAAAGTATTTTTAAAATTAAAATCAGTTTTCACAACCAGCGCAGACGTAATGATGTCTGTTATGTTTCTGGTTTTTGACACTTTTTTTTATTATACCCTTTGTGAACATCGTCTTGTAATTACACTTTGTGTTCTACTCTTTTCTTCTAAGCGACTTGGAATATGAACGTGATTTGCTCTGTTGAATCAATTTGATTTGTTCTTCTAAGAGCCATTGCACGTAAGCCACGACCGACGTTCTTCAATCGATATTCTCGAAACTTTTCCAAAGTAGTGGGCTTTTGTAGACCACACATTTTAAGGAATTTTGGTAAAAGGCGCAAATCAAAAAGTTGTATCGTTGCTGAGATATTGATATTTTACGAAAAGCCCTGAAAAACGTAGATTCCGCCATCTTGAAAATTTGCCAAATTTAAACTCTTCTAACGCTCTAGTAAATGAACATTGATAATGCTTAGCTTTCAACACAAGATTTTGTGGAAAAGAAGCTAATTTTGGTTGTGCAGGTCCTTTAAATACTAAATAACGCAATTCATCATCATCATATTTTTTATTATCAGCTGGATCTCTACTAATTGTTTCATTTTTATTGCGTTTATCAACAATATTTCCACTAGTGTCAGTTACCGAGGCAAGTTGATTTGAACATAATTCAGCAAGATTAGTTGATATTCGCTTTATTTCATTTGATAATGTTAAACTTTCTACCACAAAAGTCTCCTGGCATAATTCTGGAGATATTGACTGTTTAATTTTTCGTTCACACTCTGAGAGTAACGAATAAAGTTCTTTCAATTCAACTGCAACTTTTGTTATCACATTCTGGTCCTCATGAAAAGCCGGCTGCTCTTCAATAGATTCAAGAGTTTGGGTAATCTGGTGTATCTCTGGTAGTGACGGCGGTGCTTCTAAAAGAGTAAGTTCAGTTATGTTGTAACTAAATTGTACCAGGTCAGCGCTTTAAAATATATACCACTAAAATCAGGACAAACGTCTACTATTGTTGACTCTTTATTATTTTCACTATCATCACCATTAGACTTTATCTGTGTTTCTTCTTTTGTTGATTTAAACCATTTTTTTATTCCTT